TGGATGTGGAAGCACTGACTAAACAAAATGGCGTCCGCTTGTTCGGAAAATTAAAAAAAAAGTTTAAAAAAAAAGTTAAAACCGACCTACCCTACCTAAGTTTTTATAAGAAGAAACCGGAAACCCACATATTTTTTTTTTGGCCTTATTATTAATTTTCACGCACTGTCTTGACATATAATTATGCGTGTTAAATACATAACATTTTAACATTTCCCTGAACAGTTTGTTTTGCACAAGTGCTGTATACACTAATGACTATACTACTGCATAGTAGTGAATTTTTCATGTTAAAGTACGAAAAAAATTATTAAAATTTTAGTTAAACGTGACTTTTTAGTCACACAATATAACCACATGACCCACATTACTAACCACATTTATCACTAACACGCGTGTATCATACGAATATGCGTATCATTCAAACGCGCGTATCATATGAATACGCGTATCATACGAATACGCATTACTAACAAATATTAGGGCGCTATAAAACATGTGTTTTATAGAGCCCTGCAAATACGCATATCATATGCACGCGTATCATAATTCATGTACTAACTCCGATACAGGTATACTGTACATACGCGCACATTGCCGCACAATCGCTATTATTAGACAGATTTAGATCGAGGACGCGGACGTCAAGGACGACGTGAAAATGGCGTGTTGTGCCCATGTATGGATATGCCATGCCATTTTGTCTTTGACGTCCGCGTCCTCGATCTAAATCTGTCTATTATACACTGCCTATTATACACGCGACGTAAAGCGAACTGACCAGCATATGCATACACCATATACATGTATATATCGAAAAGATTTTTTACGCGTATTGAAAACGTATTCTACGACTATGTCTATTGTAAGAGTTGGCTTTGTTTACCAACAACAATCCATAGTTTTTACCCGTGAAGTGAAACTGTGATAGCTAATAGCGGCAGTTTTTCGTCATGTCCGCGTCATAGATTTGGTAAACTTAAGGCTAATTTCCACTCCGGATAATAAGCAGCGGATCGGACCGGATTGGAGGTTTTTCCGATCCGGTCCGAAATCAGAAAAGGAAAAAATGGAGCTCGTTCCAGTCTCACAAATTACTATTTCTCGCTTATTTCAAAACGGCAGTGGCTCTGAACAAGCGTGTCCTTCATCTGATTGGGTTACGTCGTCGCCAGCAAAGGAGAAGCAAACAAGAAAAATACAAAAAGAGCATTTGGATAAGAAAAAAATTTTCAGGAAAGACAATGAAAAAGGCAAATTCATTTGAAGAGCTATTGTACTCTCCAATTCTTGTAAAGTTTCCCTCGAATTCTCCAAGAAACTCCTGAATTATCCTCCATTTTGTAAATTTTACTGATACAGGTATTATTTAATTATTTTAATTTATGTGAGATAATACGGCAATTTGACTGGTCGCCAGGTTTATCCGCGGACCGGACCAAAAAAAGTTGAAAATATTTCAACTTTTTATTATCCGGCCAGCAACGTCGCCGGATCAATCAGAACCAAAAATTTATACTGATGGCGCATGCGCAGATTTTGTTTTGTTCTGACCCAGTCCGATCCGCTGCTTATATTCCGGAGTGGATATTAGCCTTTAAGCTCCCTATTGTATCGAACAGGGAACACTACTACCTGAACGGAGTTTTCTTAACTTGAAGGGAAATGGCAATATATTTTTTTATTTTCTCGTTTGAAAGAACATTTAAAATAAAACCATATAGAAAAAGTCTTTTAATCGATAGAAATAAAATGCCCGCCATCTTGGATTCTTGTAGATATGCATGTTACGTCACGCTATATTTTTATCTAGACAACAACTAATGGAAATATCAAGATCACTTGAAACCTTTAAAACATCAACTAATCAATATTTGGTCAGCAACGAATACTTTTATATGGTTAATGCCAGTTGTGACGTCACCAAAACTACCGTTAATGAGATAAAAAAATTATCCAAGAGTGGCTGACATCTCATTACTTCAAGTGAAAATATTTCAAGAACTAAGCGTGATATGAAGAATCGGTAAAAGAAGTTATTAAATAGTTTCAAAAGTTCTTTCAAATGAGAAAATAAAAAAATATATTGCCATTTCCCTTTAAAGATTCCTATTCGAAAAGTAAGTGGATATTTATTTTTGAAACTGATGTTGCATTTTGTAAATGAATTCAGAGACACTAATCATAGAGAATCAAAGAATGGACTGGAAACACTGGCTAAAGCTGACGCGACAATCCGTGATACGCTTTATTTCGAACCCTGTAATAGATTTAGTGAAAGCGAAATTGTTATATACACACGTATTATATTTACGTTATGTATATCAATACGCCTATCATTCTTATCACACGCATATATATGCATGGGAGTATCGAATGTAGTTGATATGCCTTAACACACGCGTATATGCGCATATCAAACGTAGTGGATACGCGTATTCATATGATACACTACGCGTATGATGCAGGTATTCATATGATACGCTACGCGTATTCATATGATACGCTGCGCGTATGATACGCGTACGCAAAAAAGTGTTAAGATCTACGCGAGCGGTACTGTATCTTTAACCCGTTAAGCTGCAGAGCTTCCCCATTGACGAGTAAAATTGTCTGGCGTTAGACAAGTAAAAAAAATAAGTGGGGCGCATTGCGGCTCAATGGGTTAACTAGAGACATGGTCAGATTTTTTGGTTAACCCATTAAGCTGCAGAGCTTCCCCATTGACGAGTAAAATTGTCTGGCGTTAGACAAGTAAATTATCGCCATACTTTGGATCTTGTTGAGACTCTGCAATTTCTTGTAGCAGTAGTTGGAAAACACGATTGAAGTTGTGATTATATTGAAATGTTTTGCTGTGTCCGCTCATTCTGCTGGGTGTTCTGAGTTTGACCTTCTTCTTCTGAGCCATTCATGCTTTGGTGTCTTTGATTCTCTATTAACTGAGGAGATACATTGCTAACAAAACCCGGCTGTAAATGACCATGCTGGTTGGCGAGCATCGATAAAAAGAGCGGGAAAACACAAAATTTAGAATGAAAAAACATGCTGAATTTTAATTAGAATGAATATAAAAACTTCATGTGAATTTTAATTAGAATGAAAATAAAGATATACACTTAGAACGTTTAACTTACTCTAATATTTAAATACAAATAGAAAGAGTATTTTAATCAAACTGAAAATGTATTCAGGGGCGTAGGAACCGGGGGGGCACTAAGTGCCCTTTTTTGTGATGAAAAAGTGCGCCTTTTTTGTACAAGCTAATGTCGCTGTAAATAGTAAATTAACATCAAAGGTGCCCTTTTTGTTTGGAAATTTCCATGTTTTTTAAAAAAATGTGGTCAAAAACGTGCAATTTCGGTATGCGGTATGGCGGGAAAATATTTCTTCCTCCCCTCGTCGCCAACATTTCCGGGGGAAATTTTTTAGGTGCCCTTTTCAATATCGTAAAGTGCCCCTGGAAGCCGGTGCCCCCCAATCTTTCGATGCTTCCTACGCCCCTGAATGTATTTATAACATATGTCCTGTAAAAATACACGTATAAAACAAAAAATAAAATATGGCGTAGATATAAATATGGATGAATATTTGTACAATGCATAATTGATGGCAACGGCCCATTGAATTAAGAAGGTGAACTATAACAATGTAACAAAACATCTTTTTTCATCAATTATCTATTATGTGCAAGAGCATGTTGTTTACTTGTTTTTATTATTTAGACCTGCTCTTACGAATGATGACTTCAGAAAACTGCTGATGACTCCAAGAGTGGGTGCCCCTGATGTTGCTCCACCTTCTGCAAGTGTTGCGAAATTGAAAGTGTATGTACTATAAAATTACAATTTAACAAGCGAGCACACTCAATATACACTTGCAGAAAGTATGTCGCGGTCACCTTGCCTATAGTGCCTCATTTTCATGATTGACAAGTTAGGCTGTCACATACACGAAGACGAGACCCTATAGCCAGAGTGACATACTTTCCGGAAAGGTGTATTGCCACTGTAGAGATTTTTGCACGACGAAAAATACAGACTTTTATGCGTTTGGCTGGTTGCAGGTTGCATGTCTTCATGGGCGGATTTACTGGGGGGTTAGGGGGGGGGGTTAAACCCCCTAGAATCTCTCTAACCCCTCTTATAAAGTGTTCAACCCCACCAAAACTTCGCTTCACCCCTCCTATTTTGCATGAAAGTCGTTAACCGTAATGCCTAACCCCTGCCGAAGCTCGCCCAGTGGTGCCACTTGCACCCCACTAAGTATTTTCCTCATCTGAAGACACCGTTAATACGGCCACCTCGCTAATACGACCAACGGCTACCTTTTGATGTCCCCAACTCTTAATATGACACTTAATATACAAAACAATGCCCCATTGGCCGTTTATGTAGTGAAGACAAGCGTAATTTAATGTATCATAGTCAAACAATTGAACAGTAAATTGGATTACATGTGGCTAAAAGAAAGTGTAAACTTGACAAAGCGTTTTTCAAAGATGTTAAAAAAACAATTAATAAAACCGTTAATACGACTACCCCGTTAATACGACCCAAAATATTTTGGCCGAATGGTGGTTGTATTAACAGGGTTCTACTGTACTTGAAAAACATAGGCAGAACTTCGATGTTCTGACGGCCTTCGAGGCTTTCAACCGCTCGAAACGTCGCAGTTTTTCAGATATTTTTCAGATAGTTGTATATCTTTCCAGGCCTACAAAATATATTTATCTTCCTGGCAGCAAAATCCAAAAATAAAATTTCCTGTGTTAGTCAAATATACAATAAAACTTTCTGCATACACTGTATGTAGATTTCAGAGAATGAATGATGCCTCTCTCCTCCGCAGAGGTTTCAATGAGCTTTACATGGCGCTTTACTTAGATTAAAATTTAGTCTAACATGCAAGTTGTCCGTTGAGCAAGTTGACCACAATCGATAAGACAAACTATATGTTAGGAATGAACCATGCGTGATTGAAAGAATGTCAGTTTAAATCTGGCAAAGCGCCTGAGAGCCTTGGGTAAAGTTTTTCACCCAAAAGAGTGTATACAGTAACTGTAATCACAAGCTTAGTGTTATAGCCGACGATATATCTTATATCATTTTTTAGACAAAGCAAATCATATACCGATAATAGTGAACATGAAAATCCTGCCGCACTCAGAAGGAAAAGAAAAAGGTACGAATGTTTGCTAACACTTCCACAACAACACTTTGACGTACTGTTTGTACACATTGCAAGGTTACTGGAAGCTAACAGCAGCACAACGTGGAATTTGAATAATGAAATTTGACAGGAATTTTGGCTTTCCGAGGCTTGATCATATTTGCTTTCTTTCTAAAAATAACTTGTATCATTACTTATATATTTCCAACATTTGTGTATTTTTTAAGTCATTATGCGAAACTGAAAAAGATCGAGGAAGAAAGAGAAAAAGAACTGGCAGCAAAATACAGAGACAGGGTAAATATCATTGAATACACATGCATGGTTAATAGGAAACATGCACTAAGTTTAATGCATCCAATCGTACTAGTAATTGAACTGGATGTTGAATTGTATTCCAAATAAGTCTTTTCTTGTTTAGATTAGTTCAAATGTTTATTGCTGAAACTATAAAAGGATTTCTAATCATTTTCTAAAAATTCATAAAATTAGATTTAGAACGTTATTTCTTCCTCAGGCACGTGAAAGACGAGATGGATTCAATCCAGATTATCAAGGAACAGATGTGAATCTTAAAGCATCTGGAGATTATAAAGCAGTCGGTCCAACTGCTGAAGCAACGTAAGTTGGAATGCACTGGATATGATATCGGGCTGGATAGCTGGCAGGGTAGTGAGTTAATCTCCTTCTCACTGGAAAAGATAGTGAAGTCCATCAGTGCAATGGACCATTTGCATTATGGACTAATTTTGATCTAAACAAGTCTAGACCAAAATTTCATCACAGCTTGAAAGAGCAACACAAAATTAGTAATATTCCAAAGTTTCGTTGCGAAATGTTGTAAAATTCGGATAATATAGCCTTGCGAAATTGCAATTTTCAGTCATTTTGTATTACAAACGGGAAATTAATGCCCCAACACCCGATTGGGCTGTCAATTTCCCGTGCGTAATACAAAATGACTGAAAAACGGCAAACTTCGCAAGGCTATATTCTCCATATTTTACAACATTTCGCAACGAAACTTTGGAGTATTACTAATTTTGTGATGCTCTTTCAAGCTGTGATGAAATTTTTGTCTAGATCAAAATTTAGTCTATAATGCAAATGTCCATTGCATCACTAAATCCATAGTATATCCATACTATTTCCACACTATATCCATAGCATGGAAATGGCAATTCGTATGAAAATTGGATTTCCAAACTATTTCCAACGAAGATCGATCATACTGTTTCCATAGTAAAGATTTTGTATCCAGTATAGTCATATTTAATTTTAAACAACAAAGAACTTAGTTAACATACTTGTTTGCAGTTAGCATACTTGTTTGCAGTCAACATACCTGGTTGCAAAATCCGGTAAGTGTATTTGGCTATTGAAGGTGTGAACATGACTTTTGTAACCATGCACGTTCACTGACGTCAGACTCAGTGCCAGCTATAGGGGGTATTGCAACTCAAAAGTGATGAAGTCCCTTATATTTTCTTGATACAAGATTGCTTGACCAAGAATAAAACTCCTAGCTGCGTAATATGGAATAAAGTGCAATACATTGTAAAACACCGCTCCTGTTTTGCAATTATGACGTCATAGGCCCCTGGACATTTTGGTGGGGGCCCCGCTCACCTTTCGGCAGCCTTGTTCACACTGAAGTTTTTTCGTTGAAATATTTTTATTTGAAATGGCATGAATTTCAGGAATACTGCAGCTGAAATGAGAAAGCGAGCTATTCAAGAAAGTAAATTCTTGGGTGGTGACATGGAGCATACTCATTTGGTGAAAGGCCTTGACTTTGCTTTATTACAAAAGGTAATTTGTGTGTTTTGTATCAATTCTGAAATAGTTTTCCTTTATTGAACGATGTTCAAACGGCAAGAGTGCGAACGGGCCTCAAGACCCATGCGAGACATTCTCCCTCTTGAATTTTGTTTACATCTAATATCATTATTTACGGCAATATTATAAATTGGTAAACATATACCAGCTGATGTTAATTTGTGATGTTACTCTGAGTATGCATCCACCCCGGGCAAGCTGAAAAGTTTGCTTGGCCACGGTGGGAATCGAACCCGCGACCTTTGGGATATGCATACTCACAGTAACATCACAAATTAACATCATATTCACTTGAGCACATAACACCAACACACACAAATATACCAGCTGATTAATATCTCAAATTAGGACGCTATTGCACCACATATAAATTATCATGAATGTAGTATACGTTTCGCAATGTGTAACAAGCAAAGTGAGAAGACGTTTAAGGACGTGGTGTACGACGTTGCTGCATGGGGCTTATGAAACTAATTATTTATTTAAAATAATTCATTATTTCTGATTGCCTTTAACCAACTGAAATCGTCATATCAACTTAATAGCTGACCAAATATGCAGTTTCGACATAATATTCAACGAAATGACGTCATACCGTTGATATGAAATAATAATATTAAACGCTGTGACTCATGCCAATAACGATTGCCGAAGGAGTGAGGAATTGTATCACAACACAAATGGCTTCCTATAACCGGCTGCTTTTTCATCTTTGAAATAAATAAAAAACAATTATTGAATTCGGTTTTCGCATGATATGACGAATTATCAAGACCTCAATTTGTGTTGCAATTCTTCGCATCCTGCGAAACCTCCCGGATGAAATGGCGCTAATGGAAAACGTCCTTTAAGAAGACCGATAAGTGACTGATTAGAGTTTTAACAGGTGGTTGATACAGAACAAGTTTTGCTCATACTGTGACAAATGTAATTTCCTTAATGAGCCCTAATCCATTAAGGTACGAAGTGAAATTACCGCTCAAGTATACACAGATGAAGATTTGACGAAGAAAGGAAAACATAAACCCAAGAATGAAAAGTAGGTTTACTTATTTAAGAATATATCAACAGGGTTCGTTTCCCCCCTGGAAATCCTGGAAAACTCTTTGAAGAGTCCTGGAATAACAAAGTGACCCTGAAAACTAAACTTTTGTCCTGTATTTTTAAAGTTATGAAGGTTTACGAGAACCCTGTATCTAATTTTACCCCAATAACAACCTGTGACAGTATAGGCACGACGGTGTTTTTGAAATTATCTACATCTGTTGGCTTTCCTTTATAGTTACTCCTAACCTACAGTAATTGTGGAACTTTCAGGGGAAAAGCAATTCGTTCGAAACTGTACCTCGATTCTGCAATCCCTCGAATATGTAATATTTTCTGTCTCTCACGTTAGAGATTATTAGATAAATTATTTTATGTCTGTCATGTTAGAGTGGGAAAAGAAGTTGAAGAAGAAATAGAAGATGATGATGATGATAGTGATGAAGAAGATGATATGCAATTTTCAACTGTTCTAGGTACAGCATGTTGTTCAGTGATATTATATGAACCAAATGCAAACATCATTCGTATTCTTACACAATCACTTGTGAATTATGACTGCATTTGGAATACCATACTGTAAGATCTGAGATATTGATTATGTCTTATACTTCACAGGTCAAAAAATTTATAGATCAGTATTTAAGAACAGACCAGCTGACAAGAACGAGTTATTTCAACCTGGTAGAATGGTAAGTAGAAGCAAGAGAAAATAATATTTGCGTCGTGTTTCTGTTCTTTATTACCTAGCTCTCTGTTAGATAATTTTATATTTTATGACGAGTACGACAACGAGTATAAAAAGACTCGAATAAGCACTTGCGATATTTCGTTAGTTTCTCAATCACTGGATGACGTGGATGTGATAAATATATATTTTATTAAAATAACAGAGGAAGTTAACGTAGTAGGTAGCGGTGTCTTTCTGCTTATTTGATTATGCGTGGGAATTCTGTAATAGATTTCTTCGCACCGTAAGTTGGGTAATTAATCATAGTGTGTCATTCCTTCTTGACTCTCATTCCACCAATATAAGTAGACTTAGTTCTTGGTGTGTGACTTACAATAAACTATACCGGTTAATATTGTTTGTCTATTGGGGGTGTAGCCTCTCGTACTTTAGTTAATTGTGAGGTTAGTTTTATCATGGTATGTTTGAAATGATATGTGATTTTATCTTAGGCCTATGTGTTTGAGTTGGAAGACGAATATGTGGAAAGTGACATCCCTACTACCTTAATAAGGAGTAAAGCAGATTGCCCTGGAATGGAGGTAATTGTTTATTTTACTGAATTATTTCTGAGAGTGCAGAGTGTACACAATAAATAATAGTTAGACAGTAACAGCGTTGTTCACACTAGTGAGATCAACATAAGCTGGGATACAGAAGAACAATTTACTTTGGATTTAGATACAACTCATGGGCGGATTTACTGGGGGGGGGGGGGGTTAGGGGGTTAACCCCGCCTAGAATCTCTCTAACCCCTCTAATAAAATGTTTGCTGTATATTTAGGCTCAGACGACATTAACTACAAATGACATTGTCATCAATAAATTGACGCAAATCCTGTCCTATCTCAGACAAGGCATGCGAGGAAAGAAGATGAAGAAAAAAGACAGAGGTAGAAGTCAATCAGACTTTCAGATTTACCTAATTTGGGCATACCCTTATCAAAACATTTTGGTTTTGAATGACCGCATCCTTTCATAATATGGAGTATGTAGTTGTATAATCTCGAACGATCTGTGCCAGTCCGAAGAATACAAGAAGAACTTGGACGTTTCGATCGAAAGTCCATCGGCGGTAAGTTTCGAGCGAAGGCCCTTCGTTGGTAAGTTAACAAATCGCCTTTGCTCGAAACGTCCAAGTTCACCTTTATTTTTCACGTAGTTGTAACCCTGTCAATTAGCCATTCCGAAGTTGATGAGTGGACTGGGAAAGTGCCCAAATTAAGAAATGAACCAAATCACTAAAAAGACCACCTCAAAATTACTTTGTAAACTTTGTAAAGTTTGAAGACGTTTACATGAATATCCTTCGAATAATAGGCTTTCGAAAATCGCGATATTTACTATGAAATGTATTGTAATTTTTGTTTTTGGGTCGCGCGTCACAAAAACAATCTTTTAATCAGTAATTTCACAATTTCGAAAGCCGATTATTCGAAGGGTATTCATGTAAACGTCTTCGAACTTTGTATACTTACTAATTTTGAGGTGGTCTTTTTAGTTATTTGGTTCATTTCTTAATTTGGGCCAATCTCGAAACCAGAGCCCGCAATCCTGTGTGGAGGCTTGCTGAGGCTCTGGGAAACTTTTGCACGAAAATCAGTACATTTGGATCCAGTACTCCGCTCGACATTATAAATAGACATTACTGCCGTCAAACATGATTTGAAAAATTATTCAAAGAACACTTGCCATGGTTTTGAATTGTTGTAAGATACTGGTAGTGATTTATTTTAACTTGTTTAATTACGGTAAATCATGGATTGTTGTGTTATTTTAAATATTATTGGCAACGGTTTATCATGACCTTATATGGTAGTGCTGCACTGTTGTTATTCTACATTTTGTTATTGGCATATCAATATTTGAATAGTCTATTGATTTCATATGAGAAGCTAGGGAAGATTAATAAGTTTATTAAAGTTATGCTGTGTGTTTCATTGATATGTTTAAACATAATACACAAAGAGAAATAAACGTTATATTAATTTAAACGATGTTTGAATCACTAAATACGGCTAACGGCTCACAGTTTGAATAATAATTAGCACTTGAAAAACAACCAATCAGAGCCCGACTTTGGCTGGTGTTTCCCAGAGCCTCAGCAAGCCTCTTCAGAGGATTGCAGGCTCTGGTTTCGAGATTGAATTTGGGCACTTTTTAACACTCGTCCCCAGTCCTCTCATCAATTTTGGAATGGCTAATCCACAGCTTTCTTTTTGTAAAAGGGAGAACATTCACTGGAGCGACTTTTAGACTCACCAATGACATATACGATCATTTCAGGTAAAAACAAGGGTTTGGATGATCCAAATGAACACAGACACAGAGGGAAAATGCAAGGTTTGGAAAGGTGAGGGACTACGTGTTTGTGCTGTATTTTGTATTTATGCATATTTTTAACACGATCAACAAACAGAAAATTCTTGCATGTAGCTATACTTCTGGGACCGGTTGTTCAAAGCTGGATTGGCGCTAACCCTGCGTTAAAATTTAACACGCTATTTTCGTTTGGGTGCAGTGTATACATTTTAGAAAATAAAACTTCTGCTGATCCAGACAAGATTTGTGAAAGAAAATATATCCCCTTGCTTATAAAGAAGCTGTTGGGAATATTGCTTTGAAGTTTTTAGTTAACGTACAGACCCCAAAATAAGTGCTGCTCACCGGTCATTGTTGTATCCCAACAACTAAGTCTCACCTGTTAGAACAGTATACCGCAGGCATTGCGCCTAAAGCCTATGCTCACAACTCAACTTTCTTTCATTTCTCATTAAAAGTATGTGGCTCAGATATGCTATGGCAAACAATCGTTCTGTTATAGTTTCAGTCCAAATACTAAATATTCTTGTGTAAATTGCGCGGTAATCATGCATACGTCTTCATCATTTGTCAGTTTTTCTCGCTATTCTCGCCAAGAAAGTGGGCATTTTCTTCAGAATAATTATCATTAATTATACTTGTACAAATCACATGTTCAAATATAGGCGAAAAACAAGAGATGACCGGCAAAAAAGCCGTTGTATAAATTTGATAATCCACCGGCCATGATGGATTGTCAAATTTAGGTTTAGTTTTCAGGATACCTTCCAGATTTATTTCGAGGCATGTTAATTCGTATACACTGTTTGTATGACACGATTTACAACGTAATATGGAATATTTTTACCATTGTAGTATTTATGAAGATGTTGGTGATTATAATCACCCCAATCTAAACTCGCGAGATTCCAGGAAATCTAAAGATGCGAAAAAAGACAAACGTCATTATTTTGAGAAGACCAGTCATGGAGAAAGTCATGTAAGTGTCTTATTGATATTTTTCCATTTTATATATTCCGTAATATTCAAAGAAGATCCAGGCTCAAGGATCTTTCGAAAGCTTTGCCAAATAAATATAGAAAGTACTACCATTTATTATTTCATATTTAACTTGTACCATGTTTTCTTTTATAAATAGGCGGAAGAATCTAGAAAACCAGGTACTGTATGCTATTAAAATTTGCAGAAAGAATTATGGTTGCATGGACTTCATTAAAAAATATGATACTTTTAAAAATTTTTACGACCGATTATTGATAATGGGAGAAATGCATGGTATATATAGCCTGTGAGCAGACTCTATATTAGGTCTGGCTTTTACACTGGTTCTGCCCCAATATGCATGGAGCTTCGATCTGAGTTCGATCAAACTAAAGTATTACTGGTCACATACTCGCATGCCCGGAAATCTAAACCTGCGGAAAGGAGGGACCGCTCGCAGTCTATTTCTGATACAGTATTTTAGCTTTCTAAAAGATTGCCATGTTTGTGGTATGTGTTTTTTTAATTTATTATTTTCGAATTCAACGAAATAAATAATTCGATATAATTTCGTGTTTAGAAGTTTCGGCGAAGGAGTTCGCCAAGAGCGTCACGAGGCAGTTCAGTGACAAGGTATTGTAAATTGAATAGCGTACTACATGAACGGGGACTTAGAACTTCAGAATCTTGTTGGGACTGTAAATTTGAGTGTATAGGTAGTAAAGTACGGCAAGTGTGCACTTTAACTGGAAAAATTACACGGACCAGTGTAGCCCGGCTGACCTGGTCAGCGAAATTGAGCCCATATATACTTTAGTTGAAGGATCTTGTAGATGGAAATTATCGAGTGGAAATTTATATATATTTATTAGACATAACCAGGAACAGCTGCGAAAAATGCAACTTTAGGTCCCTGCCAGGAGTCGTATCTGCGATTCCGGTGCAGCGCTCTAACCAACTGACCTACATACAGAGGTCAGCCGTCGAGCTTTATAACCACAAGTTCATGTATATATAGTATAGGGTACTGCCATGTTTAGGTTATAGGTAAATATCGAGATTTTGTTGGCTTCTCACTCGATTCAATAATAGTTGAAAGGTCTTGTACAGTAGATGGAATTTATCGAGTGGAAATTTGTATACATTTATATGCAGTCTAATAAATGTATATAAATTTCCACTCGATAATTTCCATCTACAAAACCCTTCAACTATTATTGAATCGCGAGTGGATGCCAACAAAATGTTGATATTTACCTATATACTTTAGCTTTTTAGCCCGACACATGGAATTTCCTATTTAAAAATTGTATCACCCCTTGCAATTGAGCCAGTCAAACCTTAATTAGCGTTATTTTAACCCTGCTGTTTTGGTTTGTGCATTTCTGCACGTCTGTTTATTTCAAAATTTGAAAAATGAAACTTTTGTCGATCCAGGCAAGATACCTTAAAAAAGTACTTCCTTTTATATAAACAAGCTGTTGGAATGTTTGCTTTGAAATTTTCCTCTAACCTGGGATTAAGCTAACCGACTTTTGAACAACCAGCCCCTGGGGTCTAGAGTTTGTAGCCCCATCTTCTCTGGGTCATGTATCAACTTGTCAAAGTGTACTACTGACATTCCCTACCTTCCTACCTGCATACACTGGATTTACGGGATGTGAGCAAGCACTTCTGTTGATATACTGAAAAATATACTAAATTCATTGTTTCCATCTTCTAGGTCGTGTCAGAGCAGAAGGACAAGAAAAAGTCGGGAAAAGAACAGAAATCAAAAGAAAGTTACGATCATTACAGTGAATGTTATCCAGGGTAGGTATTGCAACATTGCCAACGAAGTATGAGCGATAACAACAAACCATTGTTTAATTTAAAGACGTTGCAAACCAATGCACTTATGTAGGATCAAAATTGAACCTGGGGCTGAGGATAATAAAATAGTGGGGGAATGGGTGGGGCTTACCTTTTTGATCCTCGGAAAAGGAGAGTTGTCCGTGCAGGGATATAGTAATACTGTTACCAAACAGACGATAAGTATACCAAACGTTAGCGTCCTCCGCAGGAATCTCGTGGTTCACCTGCGTTGCTTGGTTTTAGAAAGCAAATGCTGCCCGCCAATTTAAAAGCGATGCCTTCGGAGGAGCCGCTAACCAAACGTGATAGAAAGCTGTGTTATCAGAACTGACATAAAGGAAATTCAGTATATACCTACATATGCATGTGCTATAGTAGATTGCACTGTAGCTCAACTTTCGTAATTGAGTCCATTTTAGAATGAAACCTATAACTTATGTGGATTCCTATTCACATTTCCCCACAGAGGAATGGATGCAGATTACAACTACGACAGTGAGGAAGAAGTGGATTACTCAAAAATGGACATGGTAGGGATTTTTGCCTTTTGATTTGATTAAATTACATATATTGGACGTCCACTGTCATTCGAAGAAATCCATTATGTCAATTCCTCTCTTTTAAACACCGCAAAACAACATTCATATCCACAAGCTGCTAAGGCTATAATAGAGATTATAATCACTAAGAAACGGGCAATTTTGAAGCTCCCTAGGAAAAATTGTTTTTCAATATGGGGCGTATAACATTTATCACGTGTTTGGGATAATAAGTTAAATGTGTGGTTAGAAAGCTGCGGATTGACAGGGATACAACTAGCTGGAAAATACAAGAACTTCGACGTTTCAAGCGAAGACCCTTCCAACGAAATCAGGCTGGGAAGTATAATACTCGTGCAAATTTGTATATAGAATCCCCAATGAAGACGAGCCACTTCGGGATACCTGGGTGCGCAGGCGAGGATTGACCGCATGACTTTAAGACACGGGTTGAGTTTATTGGGTTTCTCACTCATTAGTGAGCAGATTTCCCAACAGGCTATTGCCCAATAATTGATAGGGTATCCCAGGTACCTACGATTTAACGTCTTTATCCGAGCAGACGCAAAAGTCTAACTATGCATTTACTGATGTCAATGTAAAGATAGCTCTTTCTCATCAGCTATAAGACCTTGAGTATTGAACCCGCGGGTGTCCGGACCAGCTTGAAATGCAAGCGTGATGACCACGACACCATATGTGCTGGTATATGTCTGGTATATGTGCTGGTATATGTCTGGTATATGTGCTGGTATATGTCTGGTATATGTCTTCTTAATGTTCTTCAAGTATTACAGTTATCTTTATATTCTTGTGCTTCATAGGGTAACAAAAAAGGTCCTATCAAGAGATGGGATTTCGAGACGGAAGAAGAATACAATTCTTATATGGAACGTAGAGAAGCATTACCAAAGTAAGTTGGAACATTTACGCTGATCATTGCCACCATTTTGTTCATTTTCTCACGTGTTATTGGAAAAATTTGGTAACGGCAAAATATCGGTCCTTCAATATCGGTTATCGGAATATCAGTGTATTTCCATATCGGTGCATCACTACTGAATATTGCGCGAAAACTCACTAGTTCAAATAATTGGCGAAGAAAAAGGCTACAATTGCTGAATGGTTGGATCAAGTCTTCTTGGAAAAGTGCATTAAACCGTAGTTCCTGTGTCTCGAAGATTTTTTTGTGGGTTGGATTTGTAAGGCCCCGTTTACATGAGACCGGAACGAAGTCAAACCGGGACCATCTCGTTTCGGTCATAGTATTATCTATAATAGATGTTTACATGAGACCGGGACGAAAATAACTCAGACTGGTCTCAAGTCATTCCGCCTTCTGGACCGAACCGACTGACTTCAGACCGGCATGAATTCAGACCGGGATGAATGTAAACACAAATACATTTCAGACCGGTCTCGGCTGTAATCTTGACATTGCATATTGGAACAACACATGCTAGCAAAAGCCACCTGAAAAAGAAAATTGCCTGGCAAGGGGAATAAATTGAAGATTTTGTGATCCTCGTACCGGTCTCATGTAAACATGTTGACAATTTCAATTTTCATTCCGGTTTGACTTCGTCCCGGTCTCATGTAAACGGGGCCTTAAAAAGCGCCTCAAAGTCGTAACAATAATAATTTCAAATCTTCTTTTGTCTCCGTGATCAAATGAATGACTTTGGAAACTTAATTTTCATCGTGATTTTAGAGCTGCTTTCCAGTTTGGTGTAAAGATGAGTGACGGACGAAAAACAAGAAGAACAGGTCCAAAAGATGAGAAGGCGAAATTGGACAGAGATTGGAACAAAATCAGTCAGGTACATGTAACGTGATTTAGTTTGCTATATAAACTGAGAATAGAAAGAAAAAACCCACATCCGTTAATCAACTCTTTATTGACATTGTATTCGATGTTCTTTATTGACAGTGTTAAAATATTATAAACTTTGCGTGGAGTCTGCATTGGACTCATTTGCATGTGATAGTTAAATCTTATTTTAATAAGCTTCCATTAATTTGCATGGCACCCTAATGCGTCCTACTTTATTGTTTTGTCTAACGCCAGATTATTTTACTCTGTCTAAAGCCCATTTTCCACTAGGCGAATTTGTTCGCGCCAACAGTAAAAAAGTAGGAACTGATTCAATTTTTTCGCTAACCAATCAAATTGCCAAGATTTGGTTTTCGCTTCGCGCGAACAAATTCGCCTAGTGGAAAATGGGCTTGACGCCAAACGGCGCTTTTGAAAGCGTTTGAAACTGAGTGTAACTGTTACCTTTTTGTTAATTTTAAGATTATTTCAAAACGAAAAACGGACGGAGGCGATGACAGGTGAGGCCAGAACTTGAACGTAGGGTACAATTCTTGTTTGTAGCTGCACTTATGTGGAAAGAGTCATTCAACACTCTCCCAAACTTGATGGGTTTTCTCCCCCCCCCCCCCACAGGTGGTCGAGGATAAATAGGTTAGGGAAAGTAAAAATTGTACAGATCCAAGCCAAGTCTGACTATAACATGGTATACTGTTTTGATGTATTTGGATGAAAAAACAAAACAAAAGTAGTCTCTTGCGCAAATGTTCGTTGGTGCGCATTCGAGTCGTAAGAAAGTTTGCAAGGGCCCAAGGGTTCTAGTGAGTTGAGTGCCTGTAATTAACCGTTGCTTGGTTCTTGCTGTAGCGAATTTTACTGTATGGTATATATTTTCTTTTTATTTTTTAGATCAAGAAGTAAACAAGATAGTAAGAAGTCAAGAATGTATTGATGTGCAGATTGTTGTGATAACACTATGTGCAACTTTTGTTTTTAAATAAACTCTTCACATGACAATAATTGAATAGAGCATTCTGAATGGCAAAACCTTCAACACCACAATTTAAACTCTTTAAATACACCAGATAATATGAGATAGGAAGATATTGTGAATGTGAAGAATGGACAATCATGTGCTCCCCTGGTTGACTGGATATTTTAAATGGAAGGTCAACCCAGTTATACCTGAAATTGCATAAATTCCACATGTATCAACTAAGTACCATCATTAGCCTCAGATCTCATATTACAATGATTAAATATTTTAAATAGCATAATAGTTTTATTGATGACACAAACTTTAATATAGTTATACTTTCCATACCCAGGAATTAATGAACTAGAATATCAACCTGAAGATTATTACTGAGACAATATACTGCATTTATACAGAAGTGAAAATAATACAACACCACTCAATTACTTCGTACAATAAAGCAGACAAAATTCATTATTACACTAGCTCGTCTTTGAAGGTTTTAGTTTTTGAGATTGATGGAGTTGATTGCTCTATTGACATGAAGTCAACCAAAATTGTCTTTCTTTCTGGTTCAAATTTTCTAAAGGAAAAAATTTGATGAAGCACATCTGATCACTGAATGCAATTATGGAATAGGATTGCTGAAAACTGTATCATTACTATACATGGTGTGCACAGTCTATTAAAACAGGGTTGCCCCCCCCCCCCCCCCACGATTGACTGTGCGACCCTATTTTATCCAGGTCGTTGCGGGCTACTCATACAGCGTGCCAAAATGGCGTCTGTTGTCACACTAATTATTGA